TGGTACCAAATATCACGGTTGTGGAGTGCATAGTAGGAATGTAAGGGACTTGAAGATCAAATCGGATGAAAGATATATATGGGAGCTATAGCTATATCTGAACCGATTTTCTCCAAATTTGATGTACTTGCTTCTAGGCCGAACTCGGTTGGGTGTGCCAAAATTCAGGTAATTTGGACTGATAGTGGATATTTGGTGCACATTTAACCCGAAATCGGATGAAGATATATATGGGAGCTATATCTAAATTTGATCCGATTATCACCAATTTCAATAGGGTTCGTCCTTGGGCCAAAAAAATATTGTTTGGAAAATTTCATCTCAATCGGATAATAAATGCGACCTGCATTTTGTTCACAAGAATACATGGACAGACGGACGGACGGACGGACAAAAGGACTGACATGCATAAATCGACTCAGAAAGTGATTCTATGAAGGTTCTCAAAAGTAACTATGGGTCTATCTCGTTTCCTTCTCCATGTAACAAACAAATGCACAAAGACATAATACCCTTACCACTATGTGGTGTAGGGTATAAAAACAGACAGACAAACAAACGGTCGGACGGACACATCGACTCCAAATCTTCTGAAACGGATTTGGTCCACAGATACGTAAGAAATAAGTCAACGTTATTTTCGTAATAGGGGCCCCATTCGTGCAACACCGCAGCATATATAGCATTGCTATAACTTTTAAAAAAAATCCAATTTCTAAATGATATGCAAAATATGGGCCTCATTGATCATGAGACCCCAAAATATTTTGTCCAACACATCATACGGTTGGTGAGATAGGGAAAATACCCGGCAGATCATGCTTTTCTCTTTTTTTTTGGTCTTCCTTCATATAGCTGTGTTAGAATGTTGTTAATAACCCTTGACTTAAAAACATACACACAGTGTTATTAACCAACAAATAATCTGTAGTGCACACAACCAGGATATGCTGGTTTCAAGCTTATTTAGTGAATTAATATCTAGTTACAAAAACAGTCAGTCGAATATTAAAATTATTTGCAATCAATATGTGCTTGATGACTTTAATAAATAAATGTAATTTATATCCTATCGTAAAAAGTTTGAGCTCCACGTCGCATTTCTCCAAATGTCGATGCCAAGATATGGAACACCAACACCTGCACTCCTAAAACAAAAGAAAAAATAAATATTATTTCCATTATTTTTTTCCAACCTTTTTAAAATCTTTTGCAGATCTTACCCAATAGCGGCACAGTAGTTCGCAACACTTCAAAATGGCCAAACGGTATAAATATTAAATTGTAACCCATGTAGAATAGAGTGAAGCCCAACGCTCCTACAACGCATAGTAGTGCCGGTATAATTGCCAGATGGTGTTCCTATGAAATTAAAATAATAATTTTAATTATTTAATTCGATTGACAATGAAAAAGATAATTTACCTTTAATGAACCCCAAATTAGTAGTAAACTAAAAAGTGCTCCACCAAGGTACATTGCCAGATTGAGAAAACTTTTCTGTTTATCATGACTTTCCTGCGATTCTGAAAGTAGAATAGTGATTATATTATATTTGTTAATAATAAAAATAGCATTGTGTAAAACAATAAATAACTACAGGAAAACTCGGGAGACTATGAAAGTAAAACTAGAATGAGAAGACCTTTATCGGCGTTTAATATTTTACATCGTAAACTTTCCTATATATAGGAACAATTTTTCTCCTTTCGACGTTTTTAAAAATGTTTGGATTAATACTTCTTGAAATTCTTGAATTTTAGACGTATGCTGTCCTCGGCAATATAGCGAAAAGTAGATTATTTCCAGCAACCATTTAAAAAGAAAAAAAGCTTTGAATACCCTCCACAACATGGAACGAATTTGGCAATTTTCAAAAAATAAAATCCGTAAAAATTCTGGTAAAATCTTAAAAATACCGAATGTAGTAGGGCCTATACAACGTGGACCTGCATAGGTATTTTTTTGTCATGAGCCATCACAATATTCAAATGCTAAACTTGAAAAAAAAAATCGTAGCTCAAATCATAAAAATACCGAATACGCAATATGCAATACGAACTTCAAATACCAAACTTGAAACAATTCCGGTAAATAATGTCGCCGAAATCATCTAAATACCGAATATCGGGAGGTACCGTTATATGAAGGCTATACGAAACCGTGGACCTGCACAGACATAGGCTGTAGTACCCATTACAAACTTCAAATACCAAATTTGGAACAATTAAGGTGAATAATGTCGCTAAAATTATCAAAATACGGAATATCGGGAAGTTCCGTTATATGCAGGCTACACGAAAATGTAGACCGATATGGTCAATTTGCAAACTTTAAAAAAATCTTAGCCTTCTACATCAAATTATTCGAAAAGATGGCGTGACTACAACAGACGGAGTGACAGACATCACATCCGCCTGTCTGCCTGTTGAAATCACGATACAGGCCACTTTATTTGACGTAGAGCTTCAATTTGTATTGTGTCTAGGATAGTTGTTATTGAAAATGAAATATATCGGCCCATGTTTTGGTATAGCCACCATATAACGGTACCTCCCGATATTCAGATTTTCGCCAATTTTTTCACGGATTAGTTTAAAAAAATTGGTATTTGTAGGTCATAATGGATTTTAGTTCCGTTGGCGAAGCATTGTATATATAGGTCCACGTTTTTGTATAGCCTCCATATAACGGTACTTCCCAATATTCGGTATTTTGATGATTTTTGATACATTTTTCCTTGGATTTGTCTAAAAATTGGTATCTGTAATTCATAATGGGTTCTCTGGCGGCAGAATATTGAATATTAAGGTCCACGTTTTCTTATAGCGCACATATAACGATACCCACCGATATAATATTAACCTCGAAATTGTTTCAAATTTGGTATTCAAGATGATTTGGTAGATGACAATCCTTGAAGTATAAACCAGTAAGGAAAGCTCAAAAGTCGGGCGGGGCCGACTATATGATACCCTACACCACTATGCATATTTAGTAGAGCTCTCGTAAAAAGGTTTATACATGGCATTTCAGAGCTCTATAAGATATTTGGTACAAAATCAAAATCTATCTAATTCTATCGTGCATTTTACGAACTATAGCTATCTCTGAACCGGATTTCTCCAAATTTGACGTATTAGCTTCTAGACTGAATTCGGTCTTATGTACGAAAATACATGCCATTTGGGCTGATATAGGCCATTTGATGCACAATTAACACGAAATCGGATGAAGATATATGGGAGCTATAGCTATATCTGAACCGATTTTTACTAAAATTGGTGTACTTGCTTCTAAGCTGGTTTCGGTCGGATTTGCCAAAATTGATGCTATTACGGCCATTTGGTGGTCAATCACTCGAAATCGGATGAAGATATATATGGGAGCTACATCCAAATCTGAACCGATTTCGGTAAAATTTAAAACAGCTATTCCTGTGCTCCATCTAATACCTGGTACCAAATATCACGGTTGTGGAGTGAATATTACGAATGTAAGGGACTAAAACACTAAATCGGATCAAACATATATATGGTTGCTATATCTATATCTGAACCGATTTTCACCAAATTTGATATACTTGCTTCTAGGCTGAATTTGGTCCGATATACTAAAATTCAGTTCATTTGGACTTATATCGGCCATTTGGTGCACAAATAACCCGAAATCGGATGAATATATATATATATATATATGGGAGCTATATCCAAATCTGAACCGATTTCGATAAAATTACAAACAGCTATTTCTGGGCTGTATCTTTTATCTGGTACCAAATAACATTCTTGTGGAGTGCATATTACGAATGTGAGAGGCTTAAACACCAAATCGGATAAAACATATATATGGGAGCTATAGCTGTTTCTGAACCGATTTTCTCCAAATTTGTTGTATTTGCTTTAAGGCTAATCTCGGTCACATGTGCCAAAATACGGGCCATTTGGGCTGATATTGGCCATTTGGTGGTCAATTAACCCGAAATCGGATGAAGATATATATGGGAGCTATATCCAAATCTGAACCGATTTCGATAAAATTACAAACAGCTATTTCTGGGCTGTATCTATTACCTGGTACCAAATATCACGGTTGTGGAGTGCATAGTAGGAATGTGAGGGACTTAAAGATCAAATCGGATGAAAGATATATTTGGGAGCTATAGGTATATCTGAACCGATTTTCTCCAAATTTGATATACTTGCTTCTAGGCCGAACTCGGTTGGGTGTGCCAATATTCAGGTAATTTGGACTGATAGTGGACATTTGGTGCACATTTAACCCGAAATCGGATGAAGATATATATGGGAGCTATATCTAAACTTGATCCGATTCTCACCAATTTCAATAGGGTTCGTCCTTGGGCCAAAAAAATATTGTTTGGAAAATTTCATCTCAATCGGATAATAAATGCGACCTGCATTTTGTTCACAAGAATACATGGACAGACGGACGGACGGACGGACAAAAGGACTGACATGCATAAATCGACTCAGAAAGTGATTCTATGAAGGTTCTCAAAAGTAACTATGGGTCTATCTCGTTTCCTTCTCCATGTAACAAACAAATGCACAAAGACATAATACCCTTACCACTATGTGGTGTAGGGTATAAAAACAGACAGACAAACAAACGGTCGGACGGACACATCGACTCCAAATCTTCTGAAACGGATTTGGTCCACAGATACGTAAGAAATAAGTCAACGTTATTTTCGTAATAGGGGCCCCATTCGTGCAACACCGCAGCATATATAGCATTGCTATAACTTTTAAAAAAAATCCAATTTCTAAATGATATGCAAAATATGGGCCTCATTGATCATGAGACCCCAAAATATTTTGTCCAACACATCATACGGTTGGTGAGATAGGGAAAATACCCGGCAGATCATGCTTTTCTCTTTTTTTTTGGTCTTCCTTCATATAGCTGTGTTAGAATGTTGTTAATAACCCTTGACTTAAAAACATACACACAGTGTTATTAACCAACAAATAATCTGTAGTGCACACAACCAGGATATGCTGGTTTCAAGCTTATTTAGTGAATTAATATCTAGTTACAAAAACAGTCAGTCGAATATTAAAATTATTTGCAATCAATATGTGCTTGATGACTTTAATAAATAAATGTAATTTATATCCTATCGTAAAAAGTTTGAGCTCCACGTCGCATTTCTCCAAATGTCGATGCCAAGATATGGAACACCAACACCTGCACTCCTAAAACAAAAGAAAAAATAAATATTATTTCCATTATTTTTTTCCAACCTTTTTAAAATCTTTTGCAGATCTTACCCAATAGCGGCACAGTAGTTCGCAACACTTCAAAATGGCCAAACGGTATAAATATTAAATTGTAACCCATGTAGAATAGAGTGAAGCCCAACGCTCCTACAACGCATAGTAGTGCCGGTATAATTGCCAGACGGTGTTCCTATGAAATTAAAATAATAATTTAAATTATTTAATTCGATTGACAATGAAAAAGATAATTTACCTTTAATGAACCCCAAATTAGTAGTAAACTAAAAAGTGCTCCACCAAGGTACATTGCCAGATTGAGAAAACTTTTCTGTTTATCATGACTTTCCTGCGATTCTGAAAGTAGAATAGTGATTATATTATATTTGTTAATAATAAAAATAGCATTGTGTAAAACAATAAATAACTACAGGAAAACTCGGGAGACTATGAAAGTAAAACTAGAATGAGAAGACCTTTATCGGCGTTTAATATTTTACATCGTAAACTTTCCTATATATAGGAACAATTTTTCTCCTTTCGACGTTTTTAAAAATGTTTGGATTAATACTTCTTGAAATTCTTGAATTTTAGACGTATGCTGTCCTCGGCAATATAGCGAAAAGTAGATTATTTCCAGCAACCATTTAAAAAGAAAAAAAGCTTTGAATACCCTCCACAACATGGAACGAATTTGGCAATTTTCAAAAAATAAAATCCGTAAAAATTCTGGTAAAATCTTAAAAATACCGAATGTAGTAGGGCCTATACAACGTGGACCTGCATAGGTATTTTTTTGTCATGAGCCATCACAATATTCAAATGCTAAACTTGAAAAAAAAAATCGTAGCTCAAATCATAAAAATACCGAATACGGGGGGAGGGGTTATATGGTGGCAATGGGGGCCAGCTGTAATATGCAATACGAACTTCAAATACCAAACTTGAAACAATTCCGGTAAATAATGTCGCCGAAATCATCTAAATACCGAATATCGGGAGGTACCGTTATATGAAGGCTATACGAAACCGTGGACCTGCACAGACATAGGCTGTAGTACCCATTACAAACTTCAAATACCAAATTTGGAACAATTAAGGTGAATAATGTCGCTAAAATTATCAAAATACGGAATATCGGGAAGTTCCGTTATATGCAGGCTACACGAAAATGTAGACCGATATGGTCAATTTGCAAACTTTAAAAAAATCTTAGCCTTCTACATCAAATTATTCGAAAAGATGGCGTGACTACAACAGACGGAGTGACAGACATCACATCCGCCTGTCTGCCTGTTGAAATCACGATACAGGCCACTTTATTTGACGTAGAGCTTCAATTTGTATTGTGTCTAGGATAGTTGTTATTGAAAATGAAATATATCGGCCCATGTTTTGGTATAGCCACCATATAACGGTACCTCCCGATATTCAGATTTTCGCCAATTTTTTCACGGATTAGTTTAAAAAAATTGGTATTTGTAGGTCATAATGGATTTTAGTTCCGTTGGCGAAGCATTGTATATATAGGTCCACGTTTTTGTATAGCCTCCATATAACGGTACTTCCCAATATTCGGTATTTTGATGATTTTTGATACATTTTTCCTTGGATTTGTCTAAAAATTGGTATCTGTAATTCATAATGGGTTCTCTGGCGGCAGAATATTGAATATTAAGGTCCACGTTTTCTTATAGCGCACATATAACGATACCCACCGATATAATATTAACCTCGAAATTGTTTCAAATTTGGTATTCAAGATGATTTGGTAGATGACAATCCTTGAAGTATAAACCAGTAAGGAAAGCTCAAAAGTCGGGCGGGGCCGACTATATGATACCCTACACCACTATGCATATTTAGTAGAGCTCTCGTAAAAAGGTTTATACATGGCATTTCAGAGCTCTATAAGATATTTGGTACAAAATCAAAATCTATCTAATTCTATCGTGCATTTTACGAACTATAGCTATCTCTGAACCGGATTTCTCCAAATTTGACGTATTAGCTTCTAGACTGAATTCGGTCTTATGTACGAAAATACATGCCATTTGGGCTGATATAGGCCATTTGATGCACAATTAACACGAAATCGGATGAAGATATATATGGGAGCTATAGCTATATCTGAACCGATTTTTACTAAAATTGGTGTACTTGCTTCTAAGCTGGTTTCGGTCGGATTTGCCAAAATTGATGCTATTACGGCCATTTGGTGGTCAATCACTCGAAATCGGATGAAGATATATATGGGAGCTACATCCAAATCTGAACCGATTTCGGTAAAATTTAAAACAGCTATTCCTGTGCTCCATCTAATACCTGGTACCAAATATCACGGTTGTGGAGTGAATATTACGAATGTAAGGGACTAAAACACTAAATCGGATCAAACATATATATGGTTGCTATATCTATATCTGAACCGATTTTCACCAAATTTGATATACTTGCTTCTAGGCTGAATTTGGTCCGATATACTAAAATTCAGTTCATTTGGACTTATATCGGCCATTTGGTGCACAAATAACCCGAAATCGGATGAATATATATATATATATATGGGAGCTATATCCAAATCTGAACCGATTTCGATAAAATTACAAACAGCTATTTCTGGGCTGTATCTTTTATCTGGTACCAAATAACATTCTTGTGGAGTGCATATTACGAATGTGAGAGGCTTAAACACCAAATCGGATAAAACATATATATGGGAGCTATAGCTGTTTCTGAACCGATTTTCTCCAAATTTGTTGTATTTGCTTTAAGGCTAATCTCGGTCACATGTGCCAAAATACGGGCCATTTGGGCTGATATTGGCCATTTGGTGGTCAATTAACCCGAAATCGGATGAAGATATATATGGGAGCTATATCCAAATCTGAACCGATTTCGATAAAATTACAAACAGCTATTTCTGGGCTGTATCTATTACCTGGTACCAAATATCACGGTTGTGGAGTGCATAGTAGGAATGTGAGGGACTTAAAGATCAAATCGGATGAAAGATATATTTGGGAGCTATAGGTATATCTGAACCGATTTTCTCCAAATTTGATATACTTGCTTCTAGGCCGAACTCGGTTGGGTGTGCCAATATTCAGGTAATTTGGACTGATAGTGGACATTTGGTGCACATTTAACCCGAAATCGGATGAAGATATATATGGGAGCTATATCTAAACTTGATCCGATTCTCACCAATTTCAATAGGGTTCGTCCTTGGGCCAAAAAAATATTGTTTGGAAAATTTCATCTCAATCGAATGCGACCTGCATTTTGTTCACAAGAATACATGGACAGACGGACGGACAGACGAACTGACATGCATAAATCGACTCAGAAAGTGATTCTATGGGTCTATCTCGTTTCCTTCTCCATGTTACAAACAAATGCACAAAGACATAATACCCTTACCACTATGTGGTGTAGGGTATAAACAGTCTATGGGGGTTCCCGTTTTGATATACACGGCCTCACTGACTTTATGGTTTTTTGAAAAGTTTAACAGCAGTATCCAAACGGTCTTACTGGTATTTTATAGTTTTATGTGGAACACGTCTGAATTCAGATACTTTTATATAAAACTGTTTTCTTTACCCACGTGTCAACTTTTCGGATAACAAAATGCTCATAGAATGTGAAATAAGTACCCGATTCTATCTCGCATCCCAAAATACGGACCCAATATCAATTCAACAGGGTCAGGGTATTATGTCTTTGTGCATTTGTTTGTAACGGGCAAAAGGAAACGAGATAGACCCACAGTTCCTTTTGATGATCTGCATAGAATCACTTTCTGAGTTTATTTATGCATGTCAGTCCGTCTGTCCGTCCGTCCGTCCGTCTGTCCATGTATTCTTGTGAAAAATGCAGGTCACATTTATTATCCGATTGAGATGAAATTTTGCAAACAACATTTGTTTGGCCCAAGGACGGACCCTATTGAAATTGGAGATAATCGGTAAAAATTTAGATACAGCTCCCATATATATCTTCGTCCGATTTGCCTTTTATTGTGCACCAAACGTGTAATATCAGCCCGAATAGTATGGAATTTTGCACATACAACCAAGTTGGGCCTGAAAATAAGTATGCCAAATTTGATCGAAATCGGTTCAGATATAGCTATAGCTCCCATATATATTCTTCATCCGATTTGTTATTTTTGCCCTCCGCAGCCGTAATATGCACTCTATAACAACAATATTTGGGGAAATATATCAAATGCAGCTCACAAATACCTTTGCTAAATTTTATCGAGATCGGTTCAGATTTGGATATAGCTCCCATATGTAACTTCGTCCGATTTACCATTTATTGTGCACCAAACGTCTAATATTTGTCCAAATGGGATGGAATTTGGCACATACGACCGAATTTAGTCTAGAAGGTAGTATGCCAAATATGGTGAATATCGGTTCAGATATAGTTATAGCTCCCATATATATTGTTCATCCGATTTATTGTATTTGTTACCCACAGCTGTAATATGCACTCCGTAAAAACGATATTCAGGGAAATATATCAAATATAGCTCAGAAATATATTTGAAAAATTTTATCGAGATCGGTTCAGATTTGGATATAGCTCCCATATATATTTTTATCCGATTTTAAATTATTTGTGCACCAAATGGGCAACACAAGTCCGAATTGAAAATGTACAAATGCTTCGGCATATTTAGTCCTTTGAACTTTAAATTATAATTATTATCATAGCTTGTATGATTGAATTCTCCCCTAAAAACTTTTAATTGTTATGTGGAGCACTACTAAATTAGCAAAGTGGTGTAGGGTATCATAAAGTCGGCACCGCTCGACTTTAAGACTTTCTTTACTGGTTTTTGTTTACATTCATGTTTTTCACATCTCTCGCCGAACAACCAAAACACTTTTAAATTTTACGACTCTCACAAATGAAAACAAACTAAACACATTAAATTCGAATACATTTGTATATAAATTAGTATGTATGTATGTTCGAGAAAAGTTGGAAAAATTTAAAATTCAATTGAATTGTCTATCGACAGAAATATTGATTAGCTCTCCCTCTCATCTTAGAATTTGCCATGATAATCAGCATATGTATATGACTACCTACATACACACACACACACTTTGATGTGTTGGTGTAGGCTAGTTGATCTGGATAATAGTATTTGATTTTAGTTTTGTTTATTTCAATTTTGCACGAAATTTCGCAAATAAAAACCAGTAAGGAAAGCTCAAAAGTCGGGCGGGGCCGACTATATGATACCCTACACCACTACGCATATTTAGTAGAGCTCTCGTAAAAAGGTTTATACAGGACATTTCAGAGCTCTATGAGATATTTGGTACGAAATCAAAATCTATCTAATTCTATCGTGCATTTTACGAACTGTAGCTATCTCTGAACCGGGTTTCTCCAAATTTGACGTATTAGCTTCTAGACTGAATTCGGTCTTATGTACGAAAATTCAGGTGATTTGGGCTGACATTGGCCATTTTATGCACAATTAACACGAAATCGGATGAAGATATATATGGGAGGCATATCCAAATCGGAACAGATTTTAATAAAATTAAAATCAACTATTTTTGGGCTTTATCTGATACCTGGTACCAAATATCATTCCTGTGGAGTGCATATTACGAATGTGAGGGATTTAAAGACGAAATCGGATGAAACATATATATGGGAGCTATAGCTATATCTGAACCGATTTTTACTAAAATTGGTGTACTTGCTTCTAAGCTGGTTTCGGTCGGATTTGCCAAAATTGACGCTATTACGGCCATTTGGTGGTCAATCACCCGAAATCGGATGAAGATATATATGGGAGCTATATCCAAATTTGAACCGATTTCGATAAAATTTAAAACAGCTATTCCTGTGCTCCATCTAATACCTGGTACCAAATATCACGGTTGTGGAGTGAATATTACGAATGTAAGGGACTAAAACACTAAATCGGATGAAACATATATATGGTTGCTATATCTATATCTGAACCGATTTTCACTAAATTTGATATACTTGCTTCTAGGCTAAATTTGGTCCGATGTACTAAAATTCAGTCCATTTGGACTTATATCGGCTATTTGGTGCACAATTAACTCGAAATCGGATGAAGATATATATGGGAGCTATATCCAAATCTGAACCGATTTCGATAAAATTACAAACAGCTATTTCTGGGCAGTATCTTTTATCTGGTACCAAATATCATTCTTGTGAAGTGCATATTAAGAATGTGAGAGGCTTAAACACCAAATCGGATAAAACATATATATGGGAGCTATAGCTGTTTCTGAACCGATTTTCTCCAAATTTGTTGTATTTGCTTTAAGGCTAATCTCGGTCACATGTGCCAAAATTCGGGCCATTTGGGCTGATATTGGCCATTTGGTGGCCAATTAACCCGAAATCGGATGAAGATATATATGGAAGCTATATCCAAATCTGAACCGATTTCGATAAAATTTAAAACAGTTATTTCTGTGCTCCATCTAATACCTGGTACCAAATATCACGGTTGTGGAGTGCATAGTAGGAATGTGAGGGACTTAAAGATCAAATCGGATGAAAGATACATATGGGAGCTATAGCTATATCTGAACCGATTTTCTCCAAATTTGATATACTTGCTTCTAGGCCGAACTCGGTTGGGTGTGCCAATATTCAGGTAATTTGGACTGATAGTGGACATTTGGTGCACATTTAACCCGAAATCGGATGAAGATATATATGGGAGCTATATCTAAACTTGATCCGATTCTCACCAATTTCAATAGGGTCCTTGGGCCAAAGAAAAATTGTTTGGAAAATTTCTTCTCAATCGGATAATAAATGCGACCTGCATTTTGTTCACAAGAATACATGGACAGACGGACGGACGGACGGACGGACAGACGGACTGACATGCATAAATCGACTCAGAAAGTGATTCTATGAAGGTTCTCAAAAGTAACTATGGGTCTATCTCGTTTCCTTCTCCATGTTACAAACAAATGCACAAAGACATAATACCCTTACCACTATGTGGTGTAGGGTGTAATCACGTCTTCATGACCAGAACATACACGTAAGACGTTCATCACTAAATGACGTGGAAAAAGTACTTCTCTTTAAAATTCTCTTTTGAACGCTCTCAAATTTCATAACAAACAAACAGTCTGACAGATAAACAGTTTTAATTAAATGACCGGCATATCGATGGGATGCTTTTCTTTGGTACATATTTTTTTAAAGCAGACCATAAAAAAATTAAGGGCATGTATTTATCTCGAAAAAAAAATTATATTTCAGTCCCGTTAACTAAAGTATTTCACTTACCATCTTTCCTTCTTAATTTTATGGACAAATCTCTGACTTCGATTGCCGTACACGCCAGACAAAAGGCCATGCCGAATGAGCCAATAATAAGCGATTGTGTTGTGAGCATTTCCATTTTTGTTGTAAATTTCTCTTTCACTTTTTAAAGAAACATTTATTTAATTGCGTTTTTTTTTTTTTTGTTATCAACAAAAAATAAAGCGATCGCACGTACTGTCTCCGAATGACAACAATAAACTGACCGACTAAAGCAAAAGTGACGTAAATTTAGAAGCGAAAAAAACACTAAACTTGTTTAGAGCGTTTGTGTGCTTATTTTGTTTTGATTCGGCAAATGACAGACAACATTGTGTATACACGAATATAGATGTGTGCGTGTGAAACATCTTAAATATTTATACATTAGGGTGCCGCAAAAAATAAAAGTAAACAAATATTTTGTACCCTCCACCATACATAGTACGGAAGGTATATTAAGTTCGTTCTTCTTAATCATCGTTCAATTCTAATTAAGCCCTGCCCATCCGCCCCTTTGTTACACTGTTGTAATCACGCTCGAGTCAACACGAATCCAGATAGGAAGCTAAAATTTTGCTCAGATCAGTCGTTTGTCTGCATGCGGGTCAAGTGCGAAGGTGGGCGATATCGGTCTACTATATCGTATAGCCCCCATATGACGCCCCGATATTCGGTATTTTGATGATTTTAAACACATTTTTTAAAGGAAGAGTCTTAAAATCAACACAAGGAGTTCGTTGTGAATACATTATTCCCCGAAAGAGAATTGTCTATATGTTGACGACATCGTATAGCCCGCATATAACGGTACCTCCGTATATTCGGTATTTTTTAATGGTAATTTAGCCAAAATTTTCAATGGAATTGTCTTAAAATCCCCATAAGGGGTTCCTTCTGAGTACTTTAACTTCTAGAAGAGAATTGTCTACGTATGTAAACGTTTTAGTATAGCGCCCATATAACGGTACCCCCAGATATTCGCTATTTTCATGATTTTGAAGACACTATTCCCCGGAATTATTTATAATTTCGTATTTGAAGTTCGGAACAAAAATTACTCATGCATTTTTCGACGGATTTTTTTTTTTAATTTTTTAACTTCGACCCGGCCGAAATTAGCTGCTTCTTTACTTGCTATGTTTATAAATATTTTTGTGGATTTTTTAGAGATTTAATTAAATTATCTTCGGATTTTCTTAATAGTGAAGCATAATAAGATTATACCGAAACACCCCAATATTTATATATTCATGCTTTTGAATGTAAAGGGTAATTATACTCTCAGCTGTATGGCTACAGAGGGTATATATTATTTGATACGGCCAAAACCTATCTCATCGAAATAAAGGCCTCTTTGAAACAAATCTGTTTAAGGACATTTGGAGACGATCTACAGATGTCCATATGTCTACGAGCTGGTGCGCATAATAACTCTCCAGGGGAAATGGACAATATCGGTACACTGCTTCTGGTATCTCCACCACAAAAAGTCAACAATTTCACAGAAAAAAATTTACCTTATAGAACTAAAAGGATAATACAAAAAAACAAAAAATATAAATAAAAAATATTTTTTGAATTACTAATGGCACAAAAACTGATTTAAAATTTTGGAATCTCGAAAAAATATCTCTTTTCCCTGTAGCATTTTTATACCCTACAACACTATGTGTTGGGGGTATTATAAGTTTGATTGGCCAAAAATTATGTAACACCTCCAAATATTGGTTTCCCAATTGTGGCCCGATCTTCACGAAATTTAGAATGGAAGTGGGGCCAGAGCAAGAATAGATGCCTATTGCTTTTAGAGATGATCATCGGATAATATTTAGTGGGTGAAATAGACCATAACATTTTTGGTTAAATAAAAGTCAAATTTTCTATTAAACCGTGAATATTTTTAATCGCGGCAAAATCACAAATAGACAAATAGGTCAATTCTGACCGTACGTAGATGCCCATAGTAAATATATTGGATATATATAGAGAAATATATGCAATGTATATATATAAAGGAAGGAGATGAATGGTTGGACCGATTTTGACAAATTTTGTCAATTCAGAATGCCCCCTTGGCATAAAAGTATAAAATCTAAAAAAAATCGAATAAAAAGATGCCAATAATGATATTAATATGGGTTTTGTAATATTTTGTGATTTTTTTTTTTCAAATTTTTTATATCGCATGCGATTTTTTCAATTTGATTTATAATATTGAGTGTATATTTTTTCATTGTATTTAGCTGTAAAATGGACTACAATAACTAACAGCACGACGGAGTGCGTAAATATTGGGCAAATGCTCCTGGTCAAAATGCTAAGGGTAATATTTGGGCTGTGCTCTGTGACATCATTTCAAAAGCGAAATCTTCTAAAAAGGATTTGGACATAAGGAAGCCCCTAACATATTGTAGTGTTGTAGGGTATCACATGGTCGGCCCCGCACGACTATAGCCTTTGCTTACTTGTTTTTATACCCTACAACACTATGTGTTGGGGGTATTATAAGTTTGATTGGGCCAGAATATATGTAACACCTCGAAATATTGATTTCCCATATAGGAAAGTATATATGGATCTTCCTAGCTCGCCGAGTTGAGTCGATCTAGCTATGTATGTCCGTCTGTCCGTCTGTCCATGTTAATTTGTAATCACTCTACAGGTCGCAATTATGGTCCGATCTTCACGAAATTTAGAATGTAGGTGGGGCTTGGACCAGAATAGAACCCTATTGCTTTTGGAGATGGTCGCCAAATGTTTAGGGGTTGAAATGGACCAAATACTGAAAAAAATGTCGGATTTTGCAGTAGCTATACAGGTCGCAATTATAGACCAATCGACGCGGAATTTCGCATGTAGCTGGAGTTTAGGGAGGGGAAGAAGCCTACCAATTTGGGTGGTCATCGGATAATATTTAGCGAGTAAAATAGACCATATATTTTGTGTTGAAAAAATTCAAAATTTTTCATTAAACCGCGAATATTTTAAATCCCGGCGAAATCAGAAAGCCATGACAAGGTTACTTCTGATCTTTACATTGATGTTAAAATCCAACAAATCGGATATATAGCAAAATATGTGCGATATATATGTCTATCAAAGAAGATATGCTTGAAAGATCTCTTACATGTCGAGAACGGCTGAACTGATTTCGACAGTTCTCATAAATTCAGAATGGCCTCTTGGCAGGAAAGAAAAAACGTCTAAAAAAATCGCATAAAAATTTCTCTCTAAAGATAAAAATATTGATTTTGTAACATTTTCTCATATTTTTTCAATTTTGTCATATTTTTGGCATATTTTCATTTTGAATTAAACATTTGGTAATATTTCCACAGCTAACAAAACTAAGTAGTTAGGATATCAGGATATCATATACAGATCGCATTTATGGCCCGATCCTTACGAAATTTTGCATGGGGATAAGATGAGGGTCAGGGTAGAAGCCTACTCTTTTTGGAGGTGATCGCCAAATATATAGTGTTTGAAATGGACCAAAAAACTGCAAAATTGTCACCAGGTCGTAATTATCGCCCGATCCTCACGCACATTTGAATGGGGGTTACCGGACATTGCAAAAGCCAAGCAGCTTTGGATGGCCATCCAAAAATATTCAATGTGTAAAGGAGTTTGCCAACTTTTGTAGACAAAATACGAAAATGTCCATTCCAGTGACTTTTTGGAGAATTCACAAATACAGGAAAGACGCACTTCTGACTATTTTTTAACGCTGATTTCGTTGAAGAATGTAGTCAAATGTCTGTATCTCATATAGATGCGTTTCAGTCAAAATCCAATAATAAATGTTAATCTTTTGCCACTTCTGAGAGATTATAGGTCTTTGGGAAATATTGGTTCCAGATCTAGGAATACCATTTACGTGCAACATCTACCAATAAATTGGAAATGAGCAAATTAGTTCAAGTTTCTATTATTCGAAAATTTGAGAACGAAACCTGATGGTTTTCTTTTATTATTTGTCACAATATCTTGTGGAATTCTTTCGAGTATCTCGCCTATATAAACTGTATCGTTTATTATAGTGTTGTAGGGTATTCAACGGTCGGCCCCGCTCGACTGTAGCCTTTGCTTACTTGTTTATATTATTATTATTATTATTATTGTTATTATTATTATTATTGTTATTATTATTATTATTATTATTATTATTATTATTATTATTATTATTATTATTATTATTATTATTATTATTATTATTATTATTATTATTATTATTATTATTATTATTATTATTATTATTATTATTATTATTATTATTATTATTATTATTATTATTATTATTATTATTATTATTATTATTATTATTATTATTATTATTATTATTATTATTATTATTATTATTGTTATTATTATTATTATTATTTTTATTTCTAATTGTATAAAAACTTGGTTTCGGTCAATCACACATTAATTTTAATTGTTTAGTTTTTATTCGTTATCAAATTTCATATTTGATTGATATATAAATCCAAACGTTTCGAGAATAAGTATTCGCACTTTGTCATAGTAATTAGGATTTTGTTTTCTCACTGTCTGTTTCTTCTTTTCAATCCACATTTGATGAAACAATGAACATATGGTGTATAAAGCAAGCACTTCCATTCCTACAAAAAAAAAAAAAAATCAATTAAAAAAAAATAGTGAACTCAAATTTTCAGTAACTCACCAATAACCAACATAATGCTCATCACAAATGGAAAGTGGCCGTACTGCATCCACATGAAATTGAATCCATTGTACAGAAGGGTGAAACCTATCGTACCAATAACGCACAGGATAAACGGAATCAAGGCCACTGGACGTTTCTGCGGAACAATTTTATAGATTTATTTTCTTCTAAATAATTCAATTTAGTGATATCATACAGAAGGCAAACAGTGATTGCACCTGCACATTTTGCCAGTTTCAGAGCTATATGTTCATCATACATCGCATTGTATTTGGTGGGTGCTGAAAATGTATTGGAGATTTTTTTTAAGAGAAAATTGAAATTAAAATTATTGAAACAAAATACTTTAAACATGGGCGAATTGAGTCTATAAGGCGGGAATATTGGTCGTATGTCCGTCTGTTGAAATCACGATACAGCCCACATTATTTGACGTAGAGCTTCAAAATTTGGCAGAACAATTTGTATTGTATCTAGGATGGTTGGTATTAAAAATGAGATATATCGGTTTTGGTATAGCCGACGATTTTGATTATTTTCGCAACATTTTTTCACGATTTTCTTTCAAATTGGTACTTGTCGGTCGTAATGGGTTCTGCCTCCGGTGACGAAACATTGTATCTATAGGTCCATGTTTTTGTATAGCCTCCATATAACGGTACCTTCCGATATTAATGATTTTTTCCGCATTTTTCCAAGGGTTTGTCCAAAAATTGGTACTTGTAGCTCGTAATGGGTTCTAGCTCCGGTGGCAGAACTTTGAATATTTAGTCCACGGTATTTTGATAATTCTAGTCACATTTTTCCTCAAAATTGTTGCAAATCGGATATTTTAGAAGATTTGGTAGATGACTATCCTTGAAGTGTAAAATTGTCTGTAGAGGTTGCCGTTTTGGTATGGCCCCTATATAACGGCTGTTAAACTTTTCAAAAAGCCATAAAGTGGGTTATATGGTTTTTTGAAAAGTTTAACAGCATAATCCAGACGGTATTATTGGTATTTGTAGTTTATGGTGGAACACTTTTGAATTCAGATACTTTTTATATAAATACGTTTTCTTTACGCAAAGTTTGAGGAAATCAAAAGTTTGGCCCTGCCGTACTAAATGTTTTTTTACTTGTTATTTGAGTTCGTAATGGATACTACAGCCTATGACAGAAAATTGTCTGCGCAGGTCCACGTTTTGGTATAGCCCCCATATAATGGTTATAGCTAAATAATTCACCGAATTGTTTTGTTCAGATTTCGCATTTGAATATTGTAATGGCTTATGACAAAAGTCCACCTCGTCATATAGACCCTAATATAATGGCTACATTCGGTATTTTTAAGATTCTAACAGAATTTTTAACGGATTTAATTTTTTTTCTTTTTGAAAATTGCCAAATTCGTTCCAAATGGTGGAGGGTATTCAAAGTTCGGCCCGGCCGAACTTACAGCTTTTACACTTGTTAAATGTTCTTTTAGATTTTTCTAAACAGCCCATACGAAGTAGCTGTCACTCTCCTCTAAAAACACTGAGTGACAAAAAAGAAATGAAAGGAAAATTAGGTAGATTAAAAAAAGTAGAGCTTAAAATATGAATCGTGTTTATCGGCGTCCTAAAAGTTTACATCCGGCGGTAACCAATTTTAAATTTTGAAAAATTTTCAAATATTGGAGTAAAAAATTTCTTGTAATCCATGGATTTTAGGTGTATAGTGTCTTGGGCAATATTGTTGGTGAAAATTCTATTATATTTCTTCGGAAAAAATTTACCCCTCATTTAGTCATCGAAGGGTTATTTTAGGTTCTTTTTCGAAAAACACTATTAAGAGGAGATCGTAAAATGCTTTACGAAATTCTTCACAATAAAATTTCAATATAGGTCTCAGAATACCCCAAAGTTCGAGAAGTCTGTAAAATTAAAATAGTTTAAGGGTCAAAGAAGAACTAAATCTGATTGTATACAAAATAGCTCCATGGAATCTCAATTTAGGGAGATGACGTCAAATTCAAAAACGTTCTACGTAAAATTTCTCCAACGTAAAAAACCACCAACGACATAAAATCCTTGTTTATACTATATGTCAACAAAATTCCTGTATCGATTTTGACGAAATAAAAACGCAAAAAAAATATTTTTGTTAAAATTTTTGTAGTTTTTTTTTTCAAGTTGGTGCGTGAATGTACCATATAGCTTCATCTCTTACAGAAAATTGTATTTTTTTTTTTCAATTTTAAGTAATTTTTACTTACACTCTCTCCATATTCGCAAGTTTTCAAACTGCAGAACAGTTATTGCAATCGAAAATGATAATACAGATAAGCCAATTATTAAATTCTGTACTGTAAGGGTGTTCATTTTGTGTCCTATACAGATTCCTTTTGATAAGAAAGCCAATATTGTTATAGAATAAAATAAAAATTTAATAGCACGCGCTTGTACTCCCTTTAAAGATTGATAATGAACTGACAAGAATGCAAATATGACATTGATTTAAACAAAGTGCCAGATGGCACTAAGACTGGTGGTTTGAACCATAAAAATTTTGAGTATTTTCCTTATCAAAATTTGGATTCTTGGTATTTAATTATTGACAAATAATCTTTTGTCTTACTATTTTAGTGTGTTTTTATACCCCCCACCATACTATGGAGGGTATATTAACTTTGTCATTCCGCTTGTAACTCCTCGAAATACTCATGTCAGATCCAACAAAGTATATATATTCTTGATCAGCGTAAAATTTTAAGTCGATTTAGCGATGTCCGTCCGTCTGTCTATCTGCTTGTCTGTCCGTTTGTTGTCATCACGCTATCTTTCGAACGAATTGAGATAGAAGGCTAAATTTTTGCACACATGTCTATTTTGCCAGTAGGCAGGTTAAGTTCGTAAATGGGCCATGTAGGACCACGTTTTCATATAGCCCCCATATAACGATACCTCCCGATATTCGGTATTTTGGTGATTTTTAGCGACATTTAGAGCTCGTAATGGGAACTACAGTCTGTGACAGGAAATTGTCTATGCAGGTCCAGGTCTTCGTATAGGCCCCATATATCAGTATCTTCCTATATTCAGTATTTTGACGATTTTAGGTACAATACCCACCGAAATTGTTTGAGATGTCGTATTTGAAGTTCGTAATGGATGCTACAGCCTGTGACAGAATTGTCTATGCTGGTCCAAGTCTTCGCACGGCTCCGATATAACGGTACCTCTCTATGTACCGCATTTTGATGATTTTAGCTACATTATTCACCGTTTATTTCAAGTTTCGAATTTGAATATGGTAATGGCTTATGACAAACAATGTCTATGTAGGTCCACGTCGTATAGACCCCAACATAACGGCTTTATTCGGTATTTTTAATTTTTTGTTTATTTTTTATTTTTTGAAAATTTCCAAATTTGTTCCAAATGGTGGAGGGTATTCAAAGTTCGGCCTGGCCGAATTTACTGCTTTTTAACTTTTTTTCTTTTTATTTATATTTTCTAATTTTTTTTTAAATCTCAGCTTTTGACTTCCAATGTGTAAATCTTATCATTACAAATGTATGTATTTAAAAGAGAAATGATGCCATAAAATATTGTTCATGAAAGTTGATAAGACTTTTGAAGCTATGTAAATTGTGATAATTAAATAACGATAAAGTAAAATAGGTTTTGTAATTTGATGTATGGCTGAAAGAATACGGTATGGAACGGCTAATGTCATCAGCCGTATGCTCCATCCTCTGACGTGGTCAATTTTCTAAAATATGGTTAAAAACTCTCGAAAAACATTTTGCGGGACCGAGCATGTGAAACCCTACAACACTACAATATGTTAGAAGCCCCTTTATGCCCAAATCCGTTTTGGAAGATTTCGTTTTTGAAATTATGTCATAGAGCACTTCCCGGATATTACTCTTAGCATTTTTATCAGGGACAATTGACCAATATTTACGCACTCCGTCGTGTTAGTTTTTGTGGTTCATTTTACAATTAAATATAATCCAATGGTCATCCAAAATGCTAGAATTCTTACCTGTCCTTAACTCTCCTCTTATGAAAAATTCGGTGTCGTTTGGTTTCAATTGTGTGATCAAGAAAATTGTTCTGTGTTTGGTTCATTTGAACCCCTAAATATTTTGCGATCACCTCTAAAAGCAAAAGGTCCCTCTGTACCTCCAAATTTAGACTCATCTATATGATTTGCTTGTCTACGATGGTTGGCCATATTCGTCAACGAAATCAGCATAAAACAAGTAAGCAAAGGCTATAGTCGTGCGGGGCCGACCATGTGATACCCTACAACACTAAAATATATTAGAAGCCCCCTTATGTCCAAATCTATTTTGGAAGATTTCGCTTTTGAAATATGTCATAGAACACAGGGACATATTGCGCACTTCGTCGTGGTGTTAGTTGTTGTGGTCAATTTACAGCTAAATATAATCTAATTGTCATCTAAAATGCTAGGACTTCTTCCCTGTCCTTAACTCTCTTCTCAGGCGTATCGATTGGCTTCAATTGTGTGATCAGGAATATTTTTCTGTTTTTGGTTTTTTTTTCACACAAAAGTAGTGATCCATTCTACCCGCTGTCCTAAACTCTAACTTCATGCGAGATTTAGAGTCCTTTGGTTTCTATTTCGGCTGCAAAATCAGGAAAATTTTTCGTTGTTGGTTCATTTCAACTCCTAAATATAATGCGGACATCTTTGAAAACAATAGGCTTAGACCTTCTGAGCCTAACTCTACCTTTTTGAAAAATTGCGTGGGGATCGAACGATAATTTCAATCTGTATATAAATAATAACCCAAACCTGTGTTATAAAGTGAAAAAATATTACAAAATATACACTTCAATATTAGAAGTCAAATTAAATCAAGTAAGCAAGGCTATAGTCGTGCGGGGCCAACCATGTGTTACGCTACAACACTACAATATGTTAGAAGCCTCCTCATGTCCAAATCCATTTTGGAAGACTTCGCTTTTGAAATTATGTCACGGAGCACCCTCAGTATTTTGACCGGGGACATTTTCCCATTATTTTTGCACTCTATCGTGCTGTTAGTTTTTGTGGTCCATTTTACGGCTAAATATAGTCCAATGGTCATCCAAAATGCTAGAATTCTTCCCTGTGCTTAACTATCTTCTCAGGCGTGTCGATTGGCTTCAATTGTGTGATCAGGATTTTTTCTGTTTTTTGTTCATTTGA